TTCAGCTCCCCTTCGAACCAGGTGACGATGTCGGTGGTAGAACCGATGTAGAGCAGGTCGTCGACGTAGACGATGAGCAGAATGTAATCTCTTCCCTTCTGTAGTCGGTACATGCCTTGGTCATGTGGTAGCTGTAGGAATCCGATTTTTACGAGCCGGCCGTGAAGGTGCTGCTGCCAGAGCCGTGGGGCTTGCTTGATCCCGTAAAGGGATTTTTCCAGCTGGCATACTTTTGAAGGGTCGTCGATGAATCCGTGGGGTTGTTCGACGAAGATTTCGGCGTCCACAGGTGCGTACAAGAAGGCGTTTGCAACGTCGATTTGCCGTAGTGGTAGTTTCTTCGTGGCCGCGATGGCGAGTAGGATGCGCAGAGAGGTGTGACGGGAGACTGGAGCGAAGGTTTCTGTGTAGTCGGTTCCGTATCGTTGATCGAAGCCTCGTACGACCCATCGAGCTTTGAATCGTTCGATGGAGCCGTCTGAGTTGGTCTTGATGCGGTACACCCATTTCCCCGAGAGAATGTTCTTCCCGTTGATGCTCGTTGCAGGTACCAGTTTCCATGTTTCTCGGTCTTGCAGAGCTTTTAACTCTTTTTCCATCGCTTCCTTCCATTGTGCCTTATGTTCCCCCCCCAGAGCCTGCGACAGGGTCGACGGCTCGCGCGGAGAAGGCGGCGGCGGGTGCTGGACGGAGACCCATAGTCCTAGGATCTGCAGTCCCGTGGCTGTGTGTCGAGGGGAGTTTTCATTCTCGGGATAAGCTGCTTCATCACCGTCTTCAGGATCGGGTAAGAAGTTTGGCCCGATGCGTTCGGAAATATTCGAGTCGACGGGGTGTGGTGTAGCGTAGCCTTGGTCAGCGAAGTGGTAAAAGGTGTCGAGGTTGTTGCTATCGAGAGGATTATCTTCATCGAGTGGAACAGGTACGGAGCAGTAGGGGAGTGGTCCGGCAGCCTCCGAGGCTCCAGGGACGTCTTCTTCTGCTGCGTCAGCCTCGGCAGCATGGTCAGCGAAGGAGCGAAGGCCCGCGAAGCCGTCGGTGGGGTCGTCTGAGTTGGCAATGTTGTCCAGGTAATGCTGCAGCGTCAGTCGCTCGTAGAAGATAACATCACGTGATGCCACCGTATTTTTGTCGTGTATGTCGAGAATCTTCCACGCGTGAAAATGTTTGGCGATGCCGAGGTGTAGTCCCCACCGAGCTCGTTGAGTGAAGCGTCCTGCTCGAGCTGTGTGGGGTCTGTATTGTACCATGCAGCCGAAAACTCGAAGTAATTTTGTGCTGCCCCTTTTTCCCGTCCACAGCAGGTGCGGTGATGCGTTGTTGGGGAGCGATGACGAGGACAACAGGTTGTGCAGGTGGACTGCATGTGTCATCGCGTCTGGCCACAGTGTATTGGGCAGCCTCATCCCCAGAAGCAGTTTTCGCATCGTCGTCTGCAAGGTCCGGTTCATGCGTTCTGCTACCCCCTGCTGCTGGTGAGCATAGGGCAGAGACACCAGGCGTCGGATTCCCCTTTCCGCGAGATAGGTCCTGAAGCGTTGTGACTGGTATTCCAGTGCACCGTCTGACTGGAAACTCTTGAGTTTGGTTCCTGACTCTCGTTCGGCGATTGGAAGCCATGTGGTGAAGGCCTCGAAGGCTTGATCGCGCGTTTTGAGATTGAAGTGCCAGACGTATCTGGTTGCGGCGTCGATGAACGTGATGACGTAGTTGAAGTCGGCTTCGGTGTCGTCTCGAGGCATGTTTAGAATATCGCTGTAGACCTTTTCCATCGGAGCGTAAGTGGGTGCGCTTGGATTGTGATGGGCTGGGAAAGGTTGATGAGGAAGATCTGCTTCGGGGCACGTGAAGCATCGTGCTCTTGGTCGGCGAAGTTCTTGGCCGCTCGTCGTTAGAAGGGCGTTACGTTCTAACACCTCTGCTTGTATTGTTTGTAGTATCGTGCTGTTTGCAGGATGTCCGAGACGTTGGTGCCAGATGTCGTCGGGAGCGCGGTGACCGGGCGAGCGGTGGTAGATGTCGGCGTTGGAGAAGAACGCGACGACCGAGGCGGGACTTCGACAAGCTTCTCGTGTGGCGGGCATAAGTTGGTCTGCTTCCGTTGGCGGTCCTCGTGTTGATGGTGGTGGTACTCGGCTGGGTCCTGCTGCCGATACTGCAGGTGATGGTTTTGTTGGGACGCTTGCTGGTACTTGTCTTTCTTGTCTGATAACTGCTAATGCTCGTGTTCTCTCTGCTGCAGGTATGGTGTTGGAGTGCCAGAAGCCGTCACTGTCGAAGTCGGGATCAAGATCTGGTGGGTGAGTCCAGGCGGCGAACGATACGATGCCATCGCTGTCGGCAGTTCCGCGGTCGGGGACGAAGTCCAACACGAAGACACCGGACTTCAGGAGGGCACGACCGATGAAGAGACCGCCCTTCCCGTGGTAAAGTCGGAACTCGTTGGAGAAGGAGTCGCACTCCAGGTGAATCCCCTTAACCATTAGTTGGCTTACGCTTAGTAGGTTGTATCCCAGATTGTCGACGATGAGGACTTTGTTGAGCTGAAGAATAACGTTTGTCTCCATTGATTGTAACTGAACCACGCCTTGCCTGTTTGTTTTCAGGTTTTCGTTGTTGGCGACGGTGATGACGACGTCGCGGTTGAGGCGTCGCTCGTGTTGTACGAAGCGTCCGGAGGAGCACATGTGCTGACCGCAGCAACTGTCCAAGAACCAGGTGTTCCGCCCGGTGGGTTCGGCGTTAGCGACTGCAGCGTATGTCGGGTTGACCTGAAGTCCTTGCGAGCGCGGCGGCGGGAATTCCTCTTCGTCTGGTGCGTAAGTGGGTGGTGAAGCGGGTGCGCAGTTGTCGATGTGTACCATGCAGTTGATGATGTTGGGTGTTTGTTGTGCAGATGTTGAAGAGCGCCTTGGAGGACTTGCTTGAGTGGAAGCGACTTGTGGGTCTGCTGCACGGTAAACGCGAGGGCGGTTGCAGTTGACCTTGGAGTGCCCGGAAGTCTGACAGTTGTGGCAGAACGGCGGCACGATGGTGAGTCCTCGGTTGTCGCGTTGATCTTGCTTGCTGCGTCGGTTGTAGTTGTTGTCATTTCTTCTTTGAGTGTAGAAGACTAACTGCTGTTGCTTCCTTGGTTGTCTTTCCTCGAACAGATCCATCTCCTGTTGTTCAGCGTGAAGCTCGGCGCAGAGGTGCATCTCCGAAATTCTTCCGTGGGCTCGAAGAAGTGATCGTGTGGTTCTCCATTCTGGCCCGAGCCCGGCGAGGACAAGTGTCACGAAGCTTTCTTCAGTGATCGTTCCTCCGCACCGAAGCAGGCGGTCGCGGAGGGTCTGGCAGCGACTCATATACTGCATCGCCTTTTCCCCGGTCTTCATCTGTATTGTTGTCAGCTGTTGCATGAGTCTGCTTTGTGTCACGCTGTCGTTTGCTTGGTAAAGGCATTTGAGGTGGTGCCATGCGAGCTCCGCGGAGTTTCCATAACTCCGATACGTTCTGATGCTCTGCTGCTCTTGTGGTGACAGGTTTCTCAGGAGTACCGTGTACGCCAGCAGCGACTGATACGTGAAGATCTCTTGTTCCTTCCCAGTGCCGTTGCTTGGGAATGGCAGGGACCCGTTGAAGTATCCCAGAAGATGCGCGGCCTCCATCAGCAGCTCGAACTCGAAGCTCCAGGTAAAGAAGTCGTGTCCGTTGAACGGTGAGGATGTCTGAAGTTTGATCACGTGTGAGAACTGCGCCTGTAAACTTAAGATTTCATTCGGTGTTTGTTGTGAAGCAGCTGCTGTTGGCTGGGCACGGGGCGGCATGAATTCGAACGTCCCCGGCGAAGAATGATAAGGCGCAAAGGTAGGCGCTTGGTTGTGTCGCCCGAAGGATGAGTTGTCGAGGCTCATCGGCGCTAATCCCATATTCCCTCCATTGCTCTGTGTTGAGTGCGCAGGTGTCCTTGTCTGCTGCTGCTGGTCGAAGTGTGACATGAAGCTGAAGAATCTCTCCATGAGATTCGGGTCCACACTTGAAGAGGGAGACGGAGTCACCATCTCTGGTACTCTTCCCGTTGTTTCTTGAGTAGTCCCGGTCTCTGTCTGCAGTCCTGAGGTGTGCAGACCAGAGTTGCCGTGTTGAGTTTCTTGGGCGCTGGGTGAGCCCGTAGAGACTTTCTTGCCCTTGTTGTCCATGTCTTGTAATCAATGGAGTTGTTGAATCAAGTTGAGTTGCTGGTTGTTGATGGAGTGTAGTTGCTGGGAGTTTTGATCTCTGACCAGCTCTCATACCATGTTGGGCTGAGAAAAGCCCTTAGGATCTTTGCAGAGACTAAGTCCCAGCTGTAGAGACTTGAGACTTGGAGTAGTGCAGCGGAAGTTGAGGCAGTTGAACCCTTGTACTAGTATGTGAGAACAAGTGATTGATTAAAGAAACAAGCATACAGCAATATATAGAAGATAAGGAAGCAGTTGTAGAATACAGTTACAGGAACGGTTTATCGAGTCGCACAGCGACTCGATTGCCGCTTCGGTTACCATCCGTGATGTTGTAACGGTCAGTCGCAACCTCCAGTTGCGACCTTTCGAGTCCTTTCGCATTCTTTGTCCGCCCCCTCGTGTAACCTCCGTTGACTCGCGTGCTCCCCTGTAATCTTCCTCGAGTACAGTGTTACACTTCAGAAACGCTTAAGTCCTTGAGATATTTCCAACAATAACAACATACAAACATATGTTTGACAGTTCAAATGTTTACACATCCGAGGGTAGGGTGTTTTGTATATCCATAAAATTTAAACACCCATACCCGCTCAAGCTACCCGGGGAAGCTTAATTCCGGCGGGTGATTTTCCGGCGGTATGTAGAAGTTATAGGCTAGATAGGTTTGTGTTCTTAGAGAGTACAACTCCAACCCTTGTACTCGCATCTCTTAATTCATACTACTATTCTCAGAAGTTGTACATCGATTCAGTAGGGTTTTGTTGGGATTTCACAATTTTTTCGTAAAAAATAAATAAATTTCCTGATTACAAGACCCAAGGTGGGTCTTGTGCCATACCTATCGAAAATCTATGTCTTATAAACAGAGTACCCGTTTATAAGAAAACACCCGGATAATGGACCCTAGGGTCTTCTATTCGCCCAGGTCTTCTACCCGGCATTTACGGTATGTGTTTGTGTATCCTAGCTAGGTCAGCTCTTAGGGAGTACAACACCTTGTACTGGTTTCCCCCCTTCTCCCTTCCTAGTGCAACTTTTCTCGCTACTCTCGCCCACTCACTGCATCCGGTACCTCTTGGTAACCTGCCCGCCCGCCCTCCAGAATCTGTGAGTACTTCAAATTCCTCTGTATCACTATTCCTGCCATCTCACCCACTCGCTACATCCGGTATCTCTTGGTTCCTCTGCCCGCCTTCCACGACTCGGCGAAATCCTCGGTAAGCCTTTTGAAGCGGAAGCAAGCCGACTCGGCAAACTCCACAACGGACTCCTCAAATTCGGCGCAAACATTTCCAGCCCAGTCCTGCATGACATCCTCGAAATCAGCACACACGCCCTCCAACACTGCCGCACTCGGTTCATCAACTTTTGTAACATCATCTGCGTCGGTAACATTGCCTCCCCTCATACCATTGTCTCCCCTCATATCTTCTGCCCTAGCTGGCGAATGGGCACGCCCATACTCTTCCCTTGACATCACCTCCCTCCCGCGCCATTCGAATCCCCGCTTCCTTCCCCCACCCGACAAACCATCAGGCCCCGCCCTAGCTGGTGCACGCGCACGCACATACTCTCCTCTGAACTCCATCTCCCTCCCACGCAATACAAAATTCTGCTCCCTTCTGCTTCCTGCCCGCCCACTAGACACGTCACGCCCATGAGACTCATGAGACCCATGACACATCAGCCTGCCCGCTGTTCCAACAGGCCCTGCTATCGGCCGGTCATTTCCACGTGCTGCTGCTGCTGCTGAAGCTCGTGCTGGTTCAGGGGCTGCTGACTGTGCCGGTGCCGTTGCTGCTGCTGCTGTAGCACGAGTGGTCCGAACTGCTGTAGCAGGAATGGCAGCTCTGGCGGAGTTCAGCAGGAGAGCGGAGGTACGGCCCTGGCTCCGTGACATCACAGGATCCAGCAGCAGAAACCACTCGGGCAGTTGTTTGGGAATCCGAGGCATTTGAAGGCCACCCATCCGAAGCCGATCCGTTACCGGGCTGCCGAATCGATCCAGCCAATCCAGCCGTTCAAGCTGGTCTCGCAGCTTCTCGTAGTTCACTTTCAGCCGTAGGATCTTGGCTCGGATCGCTTCCTGCGAGTGGCGGAAGCCGGGGTGCCGCAGCAGCAACAGGTGACGCAGCTCTCCGTAGTAACTGGGGCCTCTTATACCGCGCACGGCGCTGAGCTCATTGAAGCCTCTTATACCGCGTGCGGAGGCGAACTCAGGGTCGAGCTCCGCGTGAGCCCTAAGGAGTTGTAGGACCTCCGCGTCCGACCAATGCGTTGGCGCCTGCAGAGGGGTTTGATTGGTCTCACGGAGCGGCGACGACGGAAGGGGTTCCGAGCCTGGATTTGCCCCGCGATTAGCTTCCTCGCTATAAGCTCCCCCGCTAAGAGTTCCGTCATGTCCTGCTGCAGTTTCGCCTGACGGAGCGCAGCCTTCTGCCTCGTTGCTCGGCCGACGTGTACTAGGCGGCAGCTGGAGGGATGAGCGAGGGGGTTGTGGGCTAGGGTTAGCTCCGGTATGTGCTGCTGATACCCTGGAAGGTGCGACTTCGGCGAGTGGTTTGTGCTGCTGGATCCTGTGATGTCGCTGAGCCAGGGCCGCATCAGCCGCTGGTTGATCAGATGCAACTATACCAGCCGTAGGATTATAAGATGGATCTATTTTAGAAGTACGTTGACTAGACGTAGCCATATCAGCCGTAGCTTGATCTGATACAGTCATATCAGCAGTGGCATTACCTGATAAAACTAGGTCAGGCGTCGCCTGATCAGATAAAGCCAACTCTACTGCAGGTTCCTCGACCGGGGATTGGGGGCCACTAGTAGGTGTCGCGTCCTCGGACTTGAGTTGCATCTTGGTTAATCGGAGCAGTCGGAGCAGTCGGAGTAGTCGGAGCAATCAGAGCGGTCTGAGCAGTCAGAGCGGTCAGAGCAGTCAGAGCAGGGTGGCAGTGATCTGTTAGCGCATGCGGCACGAGGTGCTCGAGTATGTGACGAAAGTCGGCTAACAGAAGCAATTCTGCCCGAAGTCGACTGGGTCGGGAGTAGCGATAGTGTCAACTAATCAACTAGGGAGTAGTGATAGAGTCAACTATGCCAACTAGGAGTAGCGATTGTCCCCGATAGTCGGCTGAGGGCGTGGAATGTAGCGAAGAGCTGCGAAATTCTGTAGCGAACAAGCGAATTTTTCGCGACTGTTTCGCGTGTCGCCTCTCGCCACGATTCGTGGAGAGAACCTGCCAGGTTCGGATACGGGCGAGTCATATGAGGTTCGTTTGACATCAGAACTCTATCCTAGCATCCTAAATTGTATACGAACCGTTTGTTATTTTAGAGCACCGATGTGAACTGGATGACCAATCACAAGCAAGCACACATCCCAAACACGAGGCATGCCCAAGCGCGGTGCATTCTGGGCAAGAATCGATCCCAACCATGTGCGACGCTGAACCGCCTATCCACACGCCATACATGTTGGTTGAGAAATGTCGAACCTCGGGGTTCGAGAGAAACGCGATGGTGATTCGGCTTACAGAACGTTTTAGTAAGGTACATCGTGGTTCCCAATGCAATGAAGCGTAGGAACACTTCTGAAACCAGAACCACCGCATTTCCACACGCTGGTGTGGTTGATCCCTGAAGTATATTTTTGCTGAAACCCCTACTCAACCATACCAGGCAAGTTTTGAAGTCCTCCACAACTCAAAAAAAACTCATTGAGATGCAATCAGGCGTAGTAATGGGAGCACGCCTTCATTACTGAGATTTGCAGCCAGAAACGTTCCTCTCTAGGTGTTCCACAACGCGATTCCTTAGGTTCCGAACCGTGAGCAACGCTCGCTTAGTCTTGGGGGTTGCAACCAAAATCGGTTCTCCTACACGCCTGAAAGGTTAGGCCGAGTATTCGAGCCTTCTCCTAGGCAGCTGTGTTGCGATGCGAAGGAAGGTGATCCCGCTCTGACCGAACCATGCAACCCGATTTTGACTCCCGGTCTCCCAGCCCTAGTCTCCCAACGGGAAGCCAGGACGTTCCTATCCTAGTTTCGCGATATCATCATGAAATCACCACGGCTGACGATGACGACCATACTAACAATGGCGCCGCGATCGTTTTTTCAGCCAGAACGGCTGTCGACCGTAGCCGATCAGACGACCTCCGAGCGACGAGTAACGGCGTGCAACTGCACTGGTCGGAGTCCGAAGCCTTGCAACTGGTCCGCGCTTTCGTGGAGGTCGAGCGCGACACGGACCTGAAACGATCCATCCATGGGAATTACTACCGGGAATTGCTCTTCCTGCTCTTACATAAGCATCCCGATTTTCGGCACTCTCAGGCTGCACTTAAATCGAAGCTCCAGCGCATGAAGGATAAGTACTACCGGCTGCAGGACCGGCTGGAACGGTCGGCCGTTACCCGGACTGACCCGTTGCCGGAGTGGTATGTGCTGCTGGATACGGTGATGAAGAAGGATGCGCGCAATTGGCGGGAGGCCATTCCCATTGGCTCGTCAAGGGAGAATCGGTCAAGGTCGAATCGGCAAGATTCTGGACGGGGTTCGGCGTCGAAATCAAGAGGTATATGCGATTTGCCGTTGTGTGTAGTGGTTTTTTTTTCTTTGGTTATTTATTATTACATTCATATTTCTCTGCCATTGTGCCTGGCTATCTGCCAGACTGCTAACCCGGGAACTTCCTTGCTCTCTCTACCAACTGGGGTGGAGGCCTCAGTGCATCTATTTGGCAAGACTCCTGAACTGAGACGGCCATTCTCTGCCTACCCGCGATCCCATATCATCCATTTCCAGGTCACATCAGAGCAGCGCTTGCAGCAAGGGAAGAGAGGACTCAAGGCAATTCAACTGGCCATGCCTTGGCCCACTTGAATGACACACCAGCATATGCATTCCCGGCTCTTCCGAGCCTGCCAACCGCAGCAGCAGCAGGCCCGAACGCTCTGCAGTGTGTGCGTCCAGCACCCTCAGCCGCTCGAGAGTCATCCGTATTGTATGCACCCAGTGCAGCAGCAGTTACAGCACCCTCGAAAAGTGCAGTAGCATCATCAGTGGCTGAAATGTCAACCACTCCCGCGCAAGCAGCAGCAGCAGCAGCAGAAACAGTTCCGGCTCTATCAACAGCAGCAGCTGTTGCGCCAGCAGCACTTGCTGGCAGAAGCACTCACCTGCGCACCCTTCCAGCACCATCAGGAGCAACCGCTCTAGCAGCCGACGGGGCCGGAGCAAGGTACCTGCAGTCACTGCGTGCCGCCACCCCAGCATCAGGTGTAGTTGCGCCATCAGCACCACCAGCAGCCACTGCTGTAGCAGCTGTAGCAGCCGACGGGTCCGGAGCAAGGTACCTGCAGTCGCTGCGTGCCGCCACCCCAGCATCAGGTGTTGTTGCGCCATCAGCACCACCAGCATCCCCTGCTGTAGCAGCTGTAGCAGCCGACGGGTCCGGAGCAAGCTACGTGCAGTTGCTGCGTGCTGCCACCCTCCCAAACTCTGCTCGAGGTGATAGGCTGACCCCCCCCTCTTCTGCTCAGAATGGGCGGCGCTCGCTCTCCCCTTCCGCTCGGGATGATTTGCGGATGTCCCCCCCTTCTGCTGCTCGGGACGAGACGCTGGTCTCTCCTCCCCCTGCTCGCTACAATAGACGAATGTTGCCGTCTTTTGCCCAACAAGGGAGGCGGGTGTCAGCACCTGGCGGGTTCGCAGGTTGGAGGGGCAGCAGGCAGGGGGGGTGGGCATGGCGACGAGAGAGGAACACCTTGGCAGCAGATCCCGAGGCTGGCAGTGCAGACCACATGGCGGACGGCAATGCAGACTACCGGGCAGCTGCTGACAGCCTGGGAGCTGCGATGGACGAGGCGGTGGAGAGTGCGTTTACGGATTTCCAAGGGATGGCGCAGGAGTGGGTGGAGAGTGCGTGTGCTGAGTTTGAGGGCCTCGTGGGGGAGATGGCGGAAAAAGCGTGCTTCCAGTTCAGGAGCGCTGGTAGGGAGTTTGCCGAGGCGTGGAGGGCCGGGCAAGAGAACAAGAGGCGGAGGCGGTACTGATATATTGATAGGGATGCTGCTGGGTGGGGCAGTGAGTGGGTTTTAGAGATCCTCTTGGCATGCTTCCAGTTCAGAAGTGCTGGGAGAGAGTTTGCCGCGTGGATGGCTGGGCAAGAGAAACAAGAGGCAAAAGAGGTGCCATCATGCCCCTTATGAAGTGAGTGGGGCGAGTGTTGATGTATTCAATTGAGCAAAGGTAGGGCATGTTCGATTGTTCTTATATGCATGGCTTAGGGCGAATTCCTAGATAGAAATATCGAGATCAATTTCACGTGGAACCAAAGGAACGCTATAAGCTCCCCCCCAATGTGTTCTGCCGCGTCCTGCTGCCGCTTCGCCTGATGGAGCGCAGCCTTCTGCCTCGTTGCTCGGCCGTTCCGTACTTGGCGGCAGCTGGAGGGATGGGCGAGGGGGATCTGAGCTAGGGGGGTCTGAGCTAGGGTAGGTGGGTCTGAGCTAGGAGGGTCTGAGCTAGGGTTAGCTCCGCCGTCAGCTGCTGCTGCTGTTACGCTTGAAGGTGCGACGTAGATGCTGTTAACATCAGCCGTAGGATGATCAGACGCACCTATACCAGCCGTACGTGTTTGAATAGCTAAGTGAGGAAGAATGTGGCGAGAGAAGAGGGTGTGTCAACTTATATATATAATATGTAAATTTTTAGTGTTCACACTTGCAAAATTGTGTATTGTGAATGCAAAGCTGCTTGTAACGCAATCTTCGGCATCGTCGAAGCGCGCTATTCGCCCTTTTCCAACTATATAATGGGTGTTGGGCTGAGAAAAGCCCTTAGGATCTTTCCAGAGACTAAGTCCCAGTTGTAGAATGAGACTTGAGTAGTGCAGCGGAAGTTGAGGCAGTTGAACCCTTGTACTAGTATATGAGAACAAGTGATTGATTAAAGTGAACAAGCATACAGCAATATATAGAAAATAAGAAAGCAGTTGTAGAATACAGTTGCAGGAACGGTTATCGAGTCGCACAGCGACTCGATTGTCGCTTCGGTTACCATCCGCGCTGTTGTAACTGTCAGTCGCAACCTCCAGTTGCGGCCCTTCGAGTCCCTTCGCGTTCTTTGTCCGCCCCCTCGTGTCACCTCCGTTGACTCGCGTACCCGTTGCGATCTTCCTCGAGTGTAGTGTTACACTTCAGAAACGCTTAAGTCCTTTGAGATATTTCCAACAATGGGGTTGGAGGTCATTCTTCCTCCACCCACGTTTTTCATTTTTCCTTCACCCTGTCGAATGGGAACGATGCCATTTGCAGTACAAGTAGCAAGCTTTCTCAATATATATAAGTTGACACACCCCCTAGGCTTGGTAGGAGCTAGTGTTAAAGTAAGAACTGAATGATAGACTAGAAGTGGAAACCTAGAACAAATACTAGTTGGTTGTACTCACTAGAAGCATACCTCAGTCTAGCCTATAAATTCTACATCGCTTATACGTATAAGTTGACACATCCCCTAGGCTAGACAAGGGGTGAAGCTAAGCAAGAAGCAAACAGCTCAGGGTGGCACTACTAGTCCAACCATTGAGGCAGGGGTCTGGAGACCAGTCAGCAAGAATACAAACAAAACTAAAGCAAGATAGGGCGGCACTACTAGTCTAGCCACTGGAGGTAAGGCCACAAGGCCAGTCTGACAGGCATATATAATAGAGAGTACACAATCACGATCCTAACAGGTGAGTAGCTACAGGAACAAGACCAAGCTGTACACAGTGCCGCTGATGATCTTTAGGCGCAAGCGCCCTAGTAAAGATATCAGCTGTGTTGGCACCTGAGGCCAAGTGAACTACGCGGGCCTGGCGGCGCTGCTGTAGCTCGCGCAGGAGGAAGTACCGCAGCTGGATATGCTTCGCTCTGCCCTCAAGCCGAGGCTCCTGACACAGGAGTATCATGGACCTGTTGTCAGCGTACAGAACCGGGGCAGAGCCAGGCTGCTCACCTAAGTCTGTGAGCAAGAAGGTCAGCCAGCGGAGCTCCTGTGCCGCCATGGCACCAGCGTAGATCTCAGCCTCACAGCTAGACTGAGCCACAGACGACGAGCGAGTGGATCTCCAAGAGATAGCACCCGAACCAAGGCTAAAACAGTAGTCCTGCGACGACCTGAGCGTCTCAGAGTCGTCTGCCCAAGAAGCGTCTGTGTGCCCAGTAAGGACCACTGGCCTGCGTCCTCCTAGCACTAACCCCATGCCCGATGTACTAGCAAGATAACGCAAAACCCTCTTAGCGGCAGACCAGTGCTGAGGTCGGTGTCTGCCTGTAGCCGCAAAGCGAGCCAGGATGCTGAGAGGGTATGCGAGATCTGGGTGAGTGCAAGTCATCAGGTACATGAGGCAACCCGCAAGCTCTGCGTAGGGGCCACTGGGCTCTACCGGCTCCTAAAAAACGGGAGCGGAGAGCCCATGGTCTATAGGTAGAGGTGTGGGCTGTGCGGAGGAGAACTGAAGACTGAACCTCTGAAGGACCTGACGCACCAAGTGTGACTGTGTCAGAGTGATGGTGCGTGCTGCTCTGTCCCTAGAGATCTGCAGGCCAAGATAGCGACGCAGCTCTCCAAGGTCAGTGCAGGTGTGTCTCTTCAGAAGCTCGGCCTTTACAGAGGCCAGTGTGTCCCTGTCAGCAGTAGCGAAGACCAGATCGTCTACGTAGACAAGGAAGTAGAACGGATTCTGGCCGGAACGCACAAACAGCGAGGGGTCAGCAGAGGACGGAACGAACAGCAAGTTTGCTAACGTGGCCCGCAGCGTGTCGTGCCACTCGCGAGGAGCCTGACGCAGGCCGTAAACCGGGCGCCTAAGAAGCCACTGGGTCCCAGGGGGGAAGGTACCTGTGAAGCCCTGTGGTCGGCACAGGTAGACCTGCTCGTGTAGGCTGCCCTGAAGAAAGGCAGTAGAGAAGTCGAGGGAGTGAAGCTCGTAGTCGCGCTGTGCTGCTACGTGTAGCAGCGCCCGAAGAGTTGTCATCTTCGGGGTCGGGGCGAAGGTCTGGAAGAAGTCAACCCCCTCTCGCTGACTGAAACCTGTGGCCAAGTAGCGCGCCTTGAAGACAGGCGGCTCTCCAGGGGGGCGCTTCACCTTGAAGAGCCACCGACCATCGACTACGTTCACCCCAGGTGGGGGAACTGCGTTGATGTAAGTGCCGGTGGACCTCCAAGATGCCATCTCCTGCTCCATGGCAGCTATCCACTGAGAGGCCCAAGGTCCCGAGGTGGCCTCAGCGTAGGTGCGAGGGGTTGGGATGTCGAAGGTGTCTGGGTCACCCTCAGGGACTAACAGTATGGAGCAGAGATGGGGAGCAGCCTCAGAAAGGAAAGCAAGCTCGTACTGCCTGTCCTCTAGGACGTCACTGCCAAGGGCAGAAGCACCCCTGATGGACGGAGGACGGGCAGGGTCAGAGACCAGAGTGGTAGCGTAGTCAAGGCGGCGGGTAGAGGCGAAGTCAGCGACAGCAGCGACAAGCGCGTCAAGGCGCGAGACAGGAACAGCAGGGTCGGTAACAAGAGAGGCAAGGACCCGAGGGACAAGGGGACAAGCGGCACGGAGGTAGTTAGAGAACGGAGGAGGTGCAACAGCAAGGGACGAGGGAGGAGGGGACGGGAGGAGGGGAGGATGAGACAAGCAGGAACGGAGCAACATAGGGTGGGTGGGCAGGACAGGAGAGACGGGACGAGCACGGGAGGGACGGCGAGACCAAACGTGGGATGGAGGTTTAGGGTCAGGGGACAGCGGAGGGGACACAGGAGGGGAACGAGGAGGAAGACGGGCCGGAGATGAGTCCGGCGGCGGGAACACAGGACCGTAGACAGGAAGGTCAGCCGGCGGTGGGGGAGACACCGGCGGGCGGTCCGGGGAGGGAAGGCCGAGCAGGCGGAGAGCGGAGATCGGCGGCGACGGCTGCTGCGGCGGCGGCGACGGCTGGGCTGAAACCCTCGGACCGGCAGAGGCAGGACGACCGTCGGCAGAACCCTCAACAGCAGCACCCCCAGAACCAACACCCCCAGAGCAAGAACCCCCTCCAACTCCAGCGGCACCCCCGGGAGCTGCAGGACGAACACCACCCTCAACGCCAGTACCCCCAGAGGCCAACGGCGGCAGCGGCGGCGGCGGCGACGGCGGCTGCGGCGGTGGCGGTGACTGCGACTGCGACGGCAGCGGCGGCAGCGGCGACGGCGACTGCGGCAGGGAAGGCGGAGACACCGGGGAAGGGGGACGCGGCAGAGACAGGCTGGGGGGACCACCAGAGTCAGCAGACTCCTCAACGGGGACAACCGATAGGAGGGGAGTGACGTGAGAGACACCAGACGGGGCAGGACGAGGTGGGAGAGGAGCAGGGGCTACCGGGGGAGAGGGAGCCAGGAACAGGGGCGGGGCAACTGGGAGACCTCGGTGAGGGAAGCGGCGGTAGAAGGAGAGAGACTTGTCAAATGTGACGTTACGAGAGTGGAGGAAGCGGTGAGACGGCGGGTGGTAGAAAAGCCATTCAGACGAGTCCAGGGGAAAACCGAGGAAGACATAGGGGACAGTGCGGGCAGTGAGCTTGTCCGTGCCAGAGGCACGAACGTGAGCAAGGCAGCCCCAGACGTGGAACACAGACGCGTCACCGGGGGACCCGGTCCAAAGGAGGGTCGGCGAAACCTGCGGCCGCTGGGAGCGTGGCCACAAGTTAAGCTTGTGAGCAGCGTAGCGAACAGCGAACGACCACTGAAAATGGGGGGCATCGGCATGAATCATGGAGGTACGGGCGACCTCCATGACCAAGCCGATGCGGCGCTCAGCAACCCCATTCTGCTGTGGCGAGTCCGGCAAGGTGTACGACTGGGTGATGCCCTCCGCACGACAGAACTGTCCAAGCCGACCAGAGGCGAACTCGCCGCCACGGTCAGAGTGGAGACACAACACGGGGAGACCGCGGTGGAGACGCGCAGCCACAACCCACGGGAGAAGAACGTCGGGCACGTCGGCCTTCCGCTCCAGGGGAAACACCGTGGTGTAGCGCGTGTAGTCGTCGACGAGCACAAGGAAGTAGCGCTCACCGCGCGGTCCGAGGACGGGGGCAGGGCCCCGAACGTCCTAGTGCAGGGTCTGAAGGGGGGCAGTAGCAGGGCGCAGCGAGGAGGAGTGAGGAGCACGGCGGAGCCGGCCCTCGAAGCAAGGCGTGCACGGTGGCGCAGTCGAGGGAGGAAGGGCAGGGAGCGACGCAGTTAGACCTAAGACAAGACCGTGCTGGGACATGTGACGCAGACGCGGGAGAGCAGGGTGACCTAAGCGGTGGTGCCAGAGAAGGGACGGGTGAGAGAGGGACCGACACGAGCAAGCTGCAGCGACCTGGGAGGACGCACCAACCGGGGGGGGAAGCGGTGTCTAGGGTAAACAGACCGGACACCGGGTCCCGGGGGAACGTCGCAAGGGGGGAACCTGAGACAGCCTCAGAACAGACAGTGAACCGCTCGTGCCCGGGGAACGTGGTGGTGACGCCGAGGTCCTGGAGACAGCCGACACCAACCAGGTTCCTCGAGAACAAGGGAACGTGGAGGCCTGTAAGGGAGCCTGAGGGAACTGCTGGACAGGGAAGGGACGTAGAACTGCGAGCGACGACAGGACCCGCAAGAGGGTCAGCGAGAGAGACAACAGCAGGCGCAGCAAGCGGCGTGAGCATGGAACG